CAATTCCAGACCTGAAGGGCAGCTAGGGGCCATAGTCTCAGTGGTTACACCAGGCTCCATTGGACCAGCAAACCTGGTCCCCACCTTCTTTTTTTTTTGATTCATCATAATGGTTTTTGTAGTTCATCTGTGTTGTAGCATGTATCAATATTTCATTCAGACATTACAAAAATTCCGGATATAGAAAGTCTATGAACCGTGTAATCAGTTTCCCATAAAAGATAACCATAGAGAATAGTTTGGTAGCTATTTTCTCATTTTAAAAATCTTTTCTAGGCGTGTATTAACTGTTATCGTAGAATCTTGAAAAGTACAGCACTGGTACCACTCTTGTAATCTGTGGAATGAGCTCATATACACCCACTCTTCACTTACCAACAAGATTAGGTCCCAAAGACTAGGTTGTTATGAAAATCGGTGTTATGCAAAAATGGAGGATGACCACATCACCTCATCCCCTCACCTGTACTGTGACCATCCTGCTGGGCCCATGCTGAGGTCATCTGCCACTGCCACTTTCCCCACATCAGTTCAGGATAGCTCACCCCCTCCCTGTGCCCTCAGGGGAGGGCCACCCAATCTTTTAGAGCCAGGGTAGCCAAAGTACCTCCATCCCCAGGTTCTCTTCCGTCTCCTGCCCTCACCATATTTTCAGGATGGGTGGCCCCAGCTCATCCGCTCAATGACCCCAAAACTCCTGTCTGCAGGCGGGAGGACCTGAGTGCCATGGGGGGCGGGCACACTATTTGCTGGGTCTCCCTTCCAGCCCTTCACCTGAGCATCTCTCGGATCTCACTGGGAGGCCCTGCCCCACCTCTGCCCCCATATCCCCATGAGAATCAGTAATCCAGAGCTTCTTCCAAGGCCATAACTGCCAGGCCCAGCCTCTACCCTTGAACTTAAACTGCAGCTGTCACTGCCCACTCACCCACTGACTCCATGCTGCCCAGGTTGCCCAACCTGCCCTCACTGGTGCTCACCCAGGAAGGGGCATCGACATGTAAGGGGATGCACAGATGCCAGTCAGCGATGTGGGGTCCTTTGGGCCCCGGGCACCCAACTGCCCCATGTTGGGGCTCCTTCTGACTGTGGTGCAACCTGTCCCTGCCATTCATGGGGCCTGGGAGCTGAGCCCAGATCCCAGGGTCCTACTTCTTCCCCAGCCTGAGGGTAGCCCACCTTCAGGATACCAGCTGCCACTGCTCCAGCTTCAGCTCCCTGTGGACACCTAGGACCCTGGGCAGTGTCATGTCTCCATTGGCCCCACTCCAGGCCCCCCTCCACCCCACCTGGCAACCTAGTGGCTCAAGGAGACCGTGCCCCCTCTGCCCTCCTGCACTGTGAAATACTACTCAATACAAGCTTCCTTCCTGCATACATATGGAATCCATTGGTTTCAGGGACCCTGTCAAAGACCTAGGCATTTGTTACTGCCAGACGTGCATTGTTAATGTGCAAAATAGTCAGATAGTAGATTTTGCACTATTGTAAATGCAAGATGTCTGATAATGAGATAGTAAGGAGTAAGTGTCATAGTTTCTGTGTCCTACTCCCATCTTGTGCAGAATATGTAAAAACTAAATTTAGAGCTCATTTTTAGTAATCAGCTTGTGAGATAGTTGAACTTTTTTTTCCCCAAAACTTCTTTTCCCTCCTTTCTGCAAAGCTGTTCAGAAAAGCATTCCTGTCCTATTTAGATAGTGTTTGGAATTTATGAAGATCCTGAGGCCAGAGCATTGGAATTTTGGCTCTTAGGGAGACAGGAATGTGGAAGAGAACGAAATAAACTTTCCCCTCCCCTGTCTACAGTTAGAGCATGTGGGGCTGTCTTGCAGGCTGAAGCAAAGCTCCCTGTGGCTTGCCTACATTTCTATACTGTCCCTGTCCCCTGCACACCCACTAGCATGACCAGCCTGAAATGAATGGGAACTGTGCTCTCCTGGGCAGACCAGCAACATGAAGACACTCACTATATGGGTCCTATTCCTTTGTTTGTTTGTTCTTCTCTTTTTTTTTCTTTTCCTGGGAGGGCATGTTAATACTAAAATAATTTGAAATCTTAATTCTTTTTAAAAAACGTAAACCATGCATTCACACAAACACACACATGCATGTATACACACTTACTCAATAGCAGGGCTTTTCCTATGGGTGCTGGGTGTAAAAGGGCCTGAGATGTAGTGTCCTAGAGGTTGTTTAAGCAAGATGACTGGGATGTAGGTATATTTATGGATGCCTCAAGTGGTTTGCACCTTCCTCTAGGTAAATGGTCCCCTGTGCCTGTCAGCAGCAGGTTGAGCTCAGAAGATCCCTCCTGGTAGGCTTTCTTGAGTTCATCTGCCAGGATAGTCTGCTTTGGTTGATGAGGACAGTCATAAGTGTGGTGATGACAGGTGACTCCCAGTGAGGTTACGTGATGATCATTCAAAGGAAGTGGGCCCAGCCAGGCTACTCTAGAGTGACATGTGATGCTTGGCAACTATATAGCCTTCTGTGGCTTTCCCAGTAGTGACAGCCAGTGCTGCCCCTCTGGTAGTACTGGTAGTTATAGCCCACCAAAGTGGCTTCTTGGGAGGTTTGGACATGTAGATAGAGGTGGGAGTAGGTGATGGAGGTTCTGGGGGCCCCAGCTCATTGTGTGAACCAGCAAGAGGTGGTGGCTCAGGAGCTGCTGCTGGTCAGCTTTCCCTAGAGGAGTGAAAACTGACTCATCACAGGTTTGCTGCTGTTTATGTGAACCTTACGTGTGCAAACTGTCTAGGCTCTTAAAGCTTCAGGGGTACAAGTGGGATTCCAGGTATGTAACTTTGGACATGTTATCAGGAAGGACCAGTCCCTGGAGAAGGACATCATGCTTGGTGAAGTAGAGGGTGAGCGAGAAAGACCCTCAATGAGATGGATTGATGCAATGGCTGCAACAATGGGCTCAAACATAGCAGTGATTGTGAGGGTGGCGTAGGACCAGGCAGTGTTTCATTCTATTGTACACAGGGTCTCTGTGAATCAGAACTGACTCCACAGCACCTTACAACAACTGTTATTTTAGTGGGGTCTCAGGAAGAAGAGGAAAGTGATGCTTGTGTTTAGTATCTAAATAGGAAGGAAGCCAGTTTGCCATAAGAGAACATAAACCTTAGACACCGAAATAATATATCTTTTTCAAAACAATGTGTTTTCTGTTCTCTAGGAAATGATAGATCTCCTGAAAACATTGTACTGTACTGAGTGAATGGAGTCAGTCACAAAGGACCACATATTGTATGATTCCATTTATATGAACTGTACAGAGTAGGCAGATTTACGGAGAGAGAAAGTAGGTTAATGGTTGTCTTAGGGTCGTTATGAGTCGGAATCTACTTGATGGCAGTCGTTTGGCTTTGGTATGGCTGGGGGTGAGGTTGGGGATTGAAAGGTGCTGGCTGAGGGGTATGGGTTTCTTTTGGAGGATAATATAATCTAAAATTGATTGTGGTAATCGTTGGACAACTCTGAATATGCTAAAGCTATGGAATTGCCAGTCACTCCTCGGAAGGAAGGTTGGGCGATCTACTTCCATAGCGATACTGCATTGGAAACCCAAGGAGGGGTCGCTATGAGTCGGAGCTGACTTGACGGCACATCACAACAACAACAATGTGGAATTGCGTGTTTTAAATGAGTGATGTGTGTGGTGCGAAATACAGCTCAGTAAAGCTGTTAAAAAACGGTGATTATTTTTGTTGATTGTGATGTTGTTAGT